CGAGTCCTGGCTGCTCTGCTTCCTATCCAACTCCCTGCTTGTGGCCTGGAAAAGTAGTGGAGGATGACCCAAAGTCTTGGGACCCTGTACCCATGTAGGAGACCTGGAAGAAGCCCCTGATTCCTGGTTTTGGATCAGCCCATCTCCAGTCAAGGTGGCCATCTGGAAAGTGAACCAGCAGGTGGAAGACCTCTCTTTCTCTCTGTAATTCTGTCTTTCCAATAAAAGTAAATGAGTCTTGGGCCCGGCATGATGGCGCAGTGGTTAAGATCCTCGCCTTGCACGCCCGGGATCCCATATGGGATCTGATTCTAATGCCGGCAGCCCCACTTCCCATCCAGCTCCCTGCCTGTGGCCCAGGAAAGCAGTCGAGGACAGCCCAAAGCTTTGGGACCCTGCACCCGTGCATGGAAGACCCGGAAGAGGCTCCTGGGTTCAGATCAGCATAGCGTCGGCCGTTGTGCTCACTTGGAGAGTGAATCATCGGACAGAAGATCTTCCTCTCTGTGTCTCCTCTCTGTATATCTGCCTTTCCAATAAAAATAAAATAAATCTTTAAAAAAAAAAAAAGTAAATGAGCCTTAAAATAAAAACAAGCAAACAACAGCAAAACCTGATGGGGCAGCATTGAGACAGAGATGGGGATGGAGATTCTGAGAAACTGCCTGTAAGTGCTAAGGCAGTGGTAGATGGTGGCCTTCATCTCCATACCGGACAAAGGGCACTTTCACACACCTAGTTCCATGCTGGTGTGCGCGTGGTCCTCGTGAAGTGGCTCAGTGAGTGAGTAAAAGGACTCACAGAAGCCCGGATGGGGTGTGGTGACGGGGTGGGAGTGGGAGGCTGAGGAGTCTGTGTCGTCCTTCTGTTCTCTGCCGCTGTGGTCCCCTGGCAAGTCTGTTGGGATAAGGTCTGAGTAGCAGACCCGTGGTCGCTGTTCTCATTGATGGGTTCAAGGGGAGCAGATGTAGGACCCTGTGGCAGCAGGCCACCAGGCCCTGAAAGCTGCTGCCCCTCTCCTGCCAGCAGTGTTGGACCCTGTTGATGCAGACAGGCGTGGGTCTTCTTCGCCTGCCTTGGGGGTCTGGAGTTCGGCACTCAGATCTCCAGTAGTGCTGTGCAGCAAGGATTGGGAACTCGTGTTTGACAGACTTTCTTTTGTGTATGTGTAGGCAAGCCAGACTGTGGTTCTAAGAACAATGACACTGGATTAAAAAACCAGTTATGTTTACAAAAAGATCCCAGGCATCTGTCTCAAGGCTTTTATTGCTTTTTAACTTTGGTGATATTTGATTACCTGCATTTGATGTATTATTGCTTTGATGAAGGGGTGCAAGGGTTGGGGTGGGAGGCAGCCTTACACAGAGGACCTCTCTCTCTGTCTCCACGCTGATCAGCATGCCACCTTTCTCAAGGCTGCCACATGACTGACTTGACAAACATGTTCTTTGTGCTTCGCTCAATTCCCGATGGCTAGCCTAACCTAAAGATTGTGGGGATGTGATGCCAGTGAAATGCATGATGGTTTTGAATGATGTCAGCTACTTTGTCAGAACTGTCAGAGCTGTGACCTGACTGAGAAACAGCCACCCAGCCACATCCTGCCACAGTGGGAGGGAGGTGGACAGAGGGGACCCAGCAGCCCTCCCTGGGGTGTGAGCTGTCACCAGAGCTGACAGCAGGCAGCCTTGGATGACTTTCCCCATCTGGTCATGTATTTTTGTCTTTCCATCATATACACCGTCTCTTTTGAGTTGGGATGCAATCATTTGTAAGGCTGAGTGAGCTGTACTTACCCCAACCCTTTCCTCTCCTTGATGCAGTAGCCCAGTAGGTGCCTCAACCTACTGCTTGGGTGGTGAGGTTATGAGACCAGCCTGTTCCTTTCTACAGCTCACCCTGAGTAAAGCCAATGGAGGAAGCACCCGTGGATCCCTCCCTCATGCCCAGCCTTGTGCTCTGCCCACTTCAGTGCCTCTTAATCCTCCCAGCAACCCTCTAAGACCAGCTTTATTGCCCTGAATCCTAGCTTGGAATAAGGTGTGGCCACAAAGCTAGTGATGCTGTGGAGACTCAAACACAAGTCACGCTGCTCCAGAGTGAATTGTCCTTCCCCTGAAATCTCCTGGACTCTGCCTGGGGAAGGAGTGTCCACCTTAGGGGACCTGAGGGGCACGCACAAGGTGACTGATTGCTAGGATTCTAGACTGAATGATGTGCGGTGAATAGGGCCATCAATGACAGGTAGGTCCTTGTGGCTCAGGCTTCTTGGGCTTTGCCACGGCCCAACCTTAGGCCAGACCGGCTTAGTTCATCGTGCAGTCATCGGTCTTCCGGGCCAAGGTTTGGCCCCTCACCTGTATTCTGAGCCTGATTACCTTCTGTATTTGTGATTGCACAAAGCATTTCCCGTGCTTAAAGCCAGACATCATAGAATATAAAATCGTAGTGTGGAGGAATGATGCTGAGGTCCCAGATGAATAAATTTGATCTCCTGGCAGCTGCATTGTGTTTTCTGGGGCTCAGGAAGACGTAAATGTTGACACCATTGAGCGTGGCCAAACGGCAGTCACTTTCAGAGTTATAACTTGGAATAATCAGACTTCCCATTTGCAATGGCGGTACATCAGCATGGGCTTTGGCTCGTTTGAAAAGCAGGGTCCAGGGAAGCTGGAAGAAATGGACAAGAGTGCAGTGTCACCATCAGCCACCTCTGAGCAGGTACAAAGGAGCATCCCCAAAGAAAGCTTTGGCACTGCACTCACATAGAGGCTGAGGTTATTGTTCTTCAAACGCTGCATGCAGAAATACAATCTGAAAAATAGGACAAACTCAAACAGAAGCCATGGTGAGGCAGCCACCTTGCTCAGTTACTACCTAATGCTCTCTCATCCTGGCTTTCAAGTGGACTCGTTGATCTTAAGACATATATATATATTTGCATGTATCAATATATATATATATATTTGCAATATATATATATATATTTGCATGTATCTAACACTTCATTAGACATCAGTAACAACAAATGGCAAGTAGGCAAAAATAACCCCGAAGAACAGAGGAATAACAAACAAAGAATCAGAAAAATCCTGCTGTTCCTCAGATGTATAAACAGTCTATACTCAGTAGTCAAATCATATGTATATCGTATATGTGTTATATATTTACATATACTATTTATAAATTATAATTTAGAAATCTATTTTATATAATAATCTAATATGTATTCGATTTATACATTATATATATTGTATTAGCTGCTGCAGATCAGAGAAAACATATGGCATTTCTCTGCGGGACTGGTTTATTTCACTAAACATATGGTTTCCAATTGCATCCATTTAGTTACAAAAGACAGGATTTCATTCTTTTTCATGGATGAGCAGGATCCCACGGTGTCTGTGTACCACAATCTCTTTGTCAGTGATCCTGAGGAGAAGTATGTCATTTTGTACTTTTGATGAAAGTACACCCCTTTACAATGGAGCCATTTGAAACGTCCTCTCTCGCTTCATGTGTTTTTGTGTGAGCTATAAAGCAAGTTAAAGATTGCTAAGAAAGAAACTTTGACAATACAGAGGTTTATCATGCTTACTTGATTTTTATCAACAGCAAACCTTGTAATTTGATTTTAAAGAAGTTTGTAGCAAATGTGTTTTTAGGACAGAAAGCACTTTTTGGGAATGTTTGATGTGGCTTGCAAGTATTAGCCACTTGACTTCTCACTAGGTTTACTATTTGATGTGGCGCTTAACTGGTCTTTTTTAGTAGACAATGGCCTGATTCACATAAAGGACCACAGAGCATCAAAGCAGCGACCACACACCTGCTCTCTGTAGAAACTTAAGGTTTCTGTTCCAATAAGGGTCATACCAAAGCAGACAGATGCTCTTCTTAAACTTTGTGGTAGTTTTCAAAACAAACATTCATGAGTTAATTCACAACGTGATAGGGATCTTTAGAAGTTCATGGGAATGTATATTATGAAAAAAATCTGCACAGAATTAAAAAATATTTTGCACCAAAATAAGCCTATTTTAAAATTCAGTTTCCCATAATCCTTTTAAAAAGCTTTATGTGGGATGATTTTATGGTACACTAAGATAAGTGGCTGCCTGTGACACCTGAGCATCCCATATGAACTACAGTTCAAGTCCCAACTGGTCCACTTCTGGCCCAACTACTTACTCATGGCACCTAGGCAGACAGCAGAAGCTTGCCCAAGTGCTTGAATACCTACACCTGTATGGTGGACTGGACGCAGTTCCCGGCTCCTTGCTTCAGCTTGACCCAGACCCGGCTGTTTATTATCATTTGGGGGATGAACCAGTAGAGGAAACATCTCGCTCTCTCTCCCTTCCCCCCTCTCTCACTCTCATTTTCTCACTCTCTCCTTGTGTGTTGCCTCTAAACTAAATAAGAGATCTTTAAAAAGAAGGAAGGAAAAGAGAGAAGGAGAGAGATCTACAACTTCATTCCCCAAATGGCCACAATGGCTGGGGTCAGAGCCTGGAATCCCACTGGTTCTTCCACACAGTGGCAGGGACCCCAAGTGCGGGGGGCCATTTCCCCCTGCTTTCCCAGGCCTGTTAGCAAAGAACTGGATCAGAAGTGGAACAGTCAGTTCTCAAATTGGTGTTTGTATGGGACCAACCTCTTCCATGATGCTTTTGAAGCCCCTTCATATGTTAAGACTTAAATTTCCACAATGTAATTCACCTGTTAGTTGCGTGGGTGATTGGGTGCAGAGTATGCAAAAGACTTGGAGTTTGTCATCACTAAACATGCCCCAGGAAAGGTGGTTGTGACATTTCAATAACCTCTCTCCAGAATAAACTGCCGCTTACTTCACTCTATGAATTGGCAAACATACTATTGGCTGGTAAATATTTTTGCGATTTGATTGCCTTTCAAGATTGAATCACAAGACTTGATGCATCCGTTGCGGGGAAAATGTTTACAGCAGTCCATTCACAATTCCTCCTCCTTTTTGGCAGGAAATAACGACATGTCTGCCAGACTACTACAGATGGACTCAGTATCTGTTTATTAAACTCTATGAAGCTGGATTGGCCTATCAGAAGGAGGTGAGTTCAAGTTAGCTGCACTTTACAAATTCATTGTTCTTAAAGAAGAAGCAGTCGAGCCCTATCTCCCCAGTAGCAGTGGAAACCTAGAAAGTAGCTGCTGGCTCAGTTTTAGTGCCTTCTAATGACGGCAAATGGCTTGCTTCCAACCTTGAGTTGAAGCTTAGTTTCTTGTAAGTATAAGGAGAGAGTGTTGGAGGAGCATGGGCTTCTCAAATTCTGGCTCCACCATCTCTCCCTACCGTGTGCCCAGCTAGATAACTTAACCTCCGGGGAGTGTGGTCCCTGCTCTGCTAAATGGAGGTGGTGATGTCTTGTAGAGTTCTGGGGAAGGTTAAAAGCAGGTAGCAACTAAAGCCCAGTGTGTGCCCCAGTAATTTCCCAAGAGATGGAGGTGGTTGTCAGAAAAAGGGGTTAATAAAAGTAAGTTGGGCTTGCAATGGTGAGATGAGGCAAGAGGGACATAATGTGTCCAGAGCTGCACTGCACAGGCTAATAGCCACCAGCCACATGGAGTTGTTTAAAACTAGGTGTAAGGGAGCAGAGTGATGGCTCATTGGCTAAATGCTCACCTTGCATGTACTAGTATCCTAGTGCATGGATACCAGTTTGTATCCTGGCTGCTCCACTTCCCATTCAGCTCCCTGCTCATGGTCTGGGAAAGCAGTCAAGGATGGCCCAAGGCCTTGAGACCCTGCACCCATGTGGGAGACCTGGAAGACACTCCTGGTTCCTGGCTTCAGATCAGCTCAGCTCTGACTGTTGCATTCACTTGGGGAGTGAACCAGCAAGTGGAAGATCTGTGTCTCCTTCTTTCTGTAAATCTGCCTTTCCAATAAAAATAAGTAAATCTTAAAAAGAGAAAAAAAAAAGAAAGAAAATTAGGTTTGCAGTATTAAAAAGTAATATTAAAAACCCAGGTCCTCAGCCACACAAGGTTTATGTGCTAGTAGCTACTGTCGGACATCACAAATGTAGCATATTTCTATTGTATCTGACCATGCCAGCAGGCAGCACTGATCTAGAAGGTTCAGACAAGTAGGAGGGACTGGTACCATGGTGTAGTGTGTAAAGCCACCACCTGCGGCGCTAGCTTCCCATGTGGATGCTTGTTCAAGTATCTGGCTGCTCTGCCTCTGCTCCAGCTCCCTGCTAATGTGCGTGGCAAAGCAGTGGAGGATGGCCCAAGTGCTTGGCCCTCTGTACTCATGTGGGAAACCAGGAAGAAGCTGCTGGCTTCAACCTGGCCATTGCAGCCTCTCTAGGTCTCTCCCTCTCTTTCTGTAACTGCTTTTGAAAAAGAGAGAAGGAGAGAGAGGGAAGGAGGCAGGACAAGATTCAGAGCTGTTTAATGTCCCATACATCAGTGAATATAATATATATATTTTTTTTTTAAATTACCATGGTTTAGCATTTGAAAGCAAAAGGCTAGGAAGAGAATTTGCAGGACCATCAGCTTCCCCAAGCCCATCAACAGCACCAGTCCACCAGCCTTTCCCAGAGGAGGTTACCTTTCTCAAGGTGGATGGTGGTTGTAGGCTCAGGGTTAGTGGCCTCAGCTGCAGGAAGAAGAGGGGTCTCCTCCACTCTGCCACTATCTGACTTTGGGGCTGTGATGGCAGTAAAATTAACGGTAGGCTTGGGGACACCACTGGTACCCTGACTCAGTGAAATCCAGGGTAGAATGGGGCACAGTTTAGAAAGCTAGATCCTTTACTAAGAAATATGTTCCTTAGTTAAGTGTGCTTTTATCGAGAAAGAAACTAATAGGCCTTGAGAAAATCAGAACTCTTTATGCTAACCAACCTTCTGGAACCTAAAGCTACCTGACAAAAAAGACTTTCAGTAGTCACACCCACACACCCACAGTCACACACATGTAAGTACACACGGACAAGCTTGAGGAAGAAGCAGGGAGGAAAATACTGCAGAGCAGCCGAGGTCCTGAGGGTGGTGCGATGGCCAGAGAGCCAAAGGCTGCTGAGACTGGGTGTGAGTTAGAGGGGGCTGTCACTGCATGTGAACAGTGAGCAGCGGGGCAAGGAGGGGTCGGGGGCAGAACACAGGCAAGTCCCAAGATGAGGTAAGGGTGGACAACGAGAGGCCTGGATGGGCCAGCAGCATCCCCAGGTGAGCCCCACACTTCCAAGAGCCTGACAGCAAAGAAAGGAAGAGAGGTAGAAGCCATGGGAGATCCCTAATCACTGTGCAAATCTGACCTTCCGCAGGCATCGTGGGGCCTTCCTATCTGTAGTTGTGCTACAGTGTGAACTTCTAAAATGCTTTCTGGAAGTTTCCCACAAATCGCTCAGGAATCTTGGGGAAATGCAGGAAACAGCTCCTCTCGTGTTGCTGCCACATCACGCTTGTGAGGGCAGCAGAGAATAAAGCCTGCTCAGCGCTCAGTGTGCTTGCAGGGGTCGCAGCGAGCACAGTCCTGACTTGTGGTTGATTTCCAGAATTCGAAAGAACATTAGCTTCTGGAGACTTGAGTCTCTTCCCTGTCTCTGCCACTCACTGTGTCAGCTCAGAAAAGTTGTCCGATTTCTGTTTTTCAAATTCCGTATTTGCAGTATGGAGATGATTAATATGCTCACTCAAAGGTTGGGGTGAGGAGCAAATGAGCCCATGTTATTTCTCCAGTTAGCACGGCAAGTAGTAAATGACAGTCACTCAAAAACTGAACGGCAGTTTAATTAAAATAATACATTTCCCAAAGTTAACGCCGTTCTCCTCAGTTTGAGGCAGGCACCATTTTCTCCCCTTTTCCTCTGCTTAGTGACATCTCCAGTGCTCCAGGTTCATCCTTTTGTGCGAGATGCTTCCAAACTTGTTAGACACGTGCTTGGAGGCATCCTTCCTAAGATGAAAGTGCAGGTGGAAATACAAACCGTTTATGCATTCTTGACCAAGCTGGATCCCAAGAGCTGCCCACAAGTCTAAGAACAGAGCCAATAGTGCAACTGCAGGGCCGGCCACATTGAGGGGCCTCAGAACGATCCTACAAAGGGACTCACCAGATTGCATCATTTTGCTCTGTCATGATTCACCACAGGCCTTGGTGAACTGGGACCCAGTGGACCAAACAGTGCTTGCCAACGAGCAGGTGGACGAACATGGCTGCTCATGGCGTTCCGGAGCAAAGGTGGAGCAGAAGTACCTCCGACAGTGGTTCATTAAAACAACAGCTTATGCAAAGGTGAGTGCCGGCCTGGAGGCTTGCCAAGGAAGCCTTCCCTGTTAGCAGACAACGCCAGGGTCTGTTGGATATGGGAGAGCCTCCCTGCAGGAGAGGGTTGTGGGAAAGCTCTGAGAAGGGCTTGCAGAGCCGTGGAGATGCAGACCAGAAGCAGACAAAGCTCAGAATGCCTCACTGAAGGTGAGGAGCTTCCGTTGCAAGTCAGAAATGGCACCTGCAGGTGAATCTAACCCACGGTTTGCTCACCACCCAACTCCATGTCACAGAAGATTTAAAATAATAGTAACTATTGTATCAGCAAGTATATATCTAAGAGAAGGAAAAATATCTTGCTATCTTTATCTGCATAGTCCTGATAAAACCTCCAGACAGGTAGACTGAAATCTCAAAGGGTCCAGAGAAGCACGGAAGGCTTGCCAGTCCCCCGGAGGGAAAGCCAGGACCGACAGTGACCTAAGCCGGGAGCCGAAGCGCGAGGTTCCCAGTCTCCTTTGGCTGCTAACTAACACTGGACGTTGACCTGGCCTTCGTGTGCTGATCAATGAGATGAGGGAATTGAACCAGGCAGTCTTCAAGGTGCCTTCTGGCGCCTTCCTTGTCCACGAATTTAAGGCAAAGCAAACTGCTGAAAGCAAGGGTGTGCTAATTCTGGGTGAGACTTTTTTTTTTAATTTTAAGATTTATTTTATTTATTTGAAAGGCAGTATTGTAGACAGAGAAGAGAAACATGGAGATCTCCCATCCGCTCTAGTTCTTTATGTGCCAAGAAAACAATTCTAAATAGCCCGTGATCACTAGCCCTTCGCTGAATTAGAAGGGCAGCCGACCAACTCACAATACCAGTGCCATACGGGAAAGTGACCTCCGCTTTTCTCACTCAAAAGGCATGTCTTAAATGAGGCTGTTTTCTCACTCTAGTTTATTCAGAATGCAGCCAAGACTAGCATATGGATTGGGAAAAGTGCTCGTTAGAACTTGTTAACACAGTGCCTTGCTCTTTTTAAGCATGGCAGCGCTGGAGACCGAATGAGGATGTTGCTTTCTGTACCTTTCCCGGCCATGGGGGCCACTAAGTGCTGACAGTTGGGGTCCACTGCATTCCCGGGAGGAATGCCAGGTTACCTTCTGGACCCCCAGATGAAATGGGCATTGTTGGAAATGCCATCTAATTAGCTTTTTTTGTTTTGACCTCTGCTTCTAGTTGAAAATGGAATGACCTAACTGAGGGGCATTATTCTTTTAAATTGTCAGCTGTGAATTTTCATCTGTTCAGCAGAAATGGTTAGTTACCATGGTGATCCTCCTGGTTCTTGCTGAACTCCCTGAGCAGAATTATTGAAAAAAACCATCTTTCGGAAAGTCCCCAGTTGGGTTGCCGTGACAATCAGAAGAGGAGGGAGCAAGACAGTCCGTGCGGCCCCACAGAGAGAGATTGCTGCAGGGCCGAGACGAGAGCAGGGACACGGGGCTGCCTGGTACTAAGAGATCCTTGACGTACGATTCAGCCAAGAATATGCCATGGAGACCCCGGAAAGACCATGCATTAGAGGTAACGGTGTCACCCTAGGACTGAGATCAAAATACACTCATGTTCACAAAGAATAAAAGCAAGCCCAAGAAATTAAACAGGAGCCACCAGAACAAAACTCATATCCTTAGTAAGACAACGTAATCCAGACTCCTTACCAGATTTCATCTGCAACGTCAAACATATAAGAAAAAATGACCAGACCTGGGGCCGATGCTGTGGTGTAGCAAGCTAAGCCCCTTCCTGCGGCAGCAGGATCCCATAGGGGCATGTTTGAGTTCTGGCTGCTCTACTTTCAATCCTCCTCCGTGCTCATGGCCTGAGAAACTGTTCGGGCCTCTGCACCCATGTGGGGGATCCAGAAGAGGCTTCCATCTTCTGGCTTTGGATCGACCTGGCTCTGGACATTTTAGCTATTTAGGGAGCGGACTAATGAATGGAAGATCTCTCTGTCTCTGCTTCTCTTTTTGTAAATCTACCTCTCAGATAAAAATAAACAAAGCTTAAAGGGTAGGGTAGCCATCGTGAGCAGACACAAGAAGCAGCTCAGGAGAGAGTGGGAACTAGAAGAAAATAAGTACAGCCAGTGTTGTCACACAGTGGGTTAAGCCACTGTGTGTAATGCACCAGTTATAGTTCCTGCTATTCCACTTCCGAGTCCTTGGGCTCCTGTCACACATGTGGGAGATCCAGATGCGGTCCTAGGCTTTTGGGGTCTTAATTTAAACCTGCCCAGCTGCCCAGTCCAGCTATCTCTCTCTCTCTCTCTCTCTCTCTCTCTCTCTCTCTCTTTCTCTGTGTCTCTCTCTTCTGTTTATAGCTGTCAAATAAAACATTCCTAAATTTTTTTAAAATGAATCAACCAGAAATTGAACATGAAAAAGTGTGATGTCTAAAATGGAAAACGCTCTGTTGGAGGTGCAGAGGGCTAAAGTTCAAGTGGACCACAAACCAAGCAGGCTTCTTCCTGCAGCCCCTCTCTTGCGTGGGAAAACCCGCTCCTAGAGCAGAAATCGATTGAGAAGCAGAGAGAAGGATACTGCAGCTTAAGTGAGGAGTACCCTGCGGGGATGAAGGGGCTAGACAAGGCAGGGTCTTTTGGGTCTTAAAGAGTTGTGGTTTTCCCTTGGAAACAACTCAAATATTCTTAGGAAGAGGCTGCTACGGTCAGATTTGTGGTGGGGAGGGCAAGGAGATACAGAGAGAGAAGTGAGAACCTGGACTTAGGTGGAAATAGGAGAAAGAAGTGAATAGGTGGTTGAAATAGCAGTGACTAGGGTGACTCCTGTATGCAGGAGACAGCAACGTCAAGAAGACCCCAAGTGGAACAGTGAGTAGGCAAGTAAGCCACCTCCTGGGACAGAGCATCCTGGACAAGGCACAGGCCTGACCCTGTTGAGTTTGAAGTAGCCACAAGACATTTGAAATAACAAGTGCTTAGGAAATTAGGCCGGAAAGTTTCAAGAAGATCCAGCAAGGTGGGATACCTGCCTTGAAACCTAATGTGGCAGAAATAGTCATGGATTTTTAGGGAACAGTCCTCTTCTACAGGCAAGGATGACATGTTTGATTACTGATGTTTTCGGCCGCAAGTACCTGAGAATTCCCAGTTACGAGGACTGAAGTGGGATTGGACTCTGAGTTAGCATTTCAGTGATCCACTTGGCCATTCCCTCCTTCCTGTTACCTTATGGTCACAACATGGTTATTACAGCTCCGCTCATCACAACCGCCTTCAAAGACAGAAGTAGAAGGGTCAGTGCAAGCAACTATGTTTTCCCCCTGAAAGGCAAGAACTTCTCCAGAACCCATCAGCAGGAGTCCACCGAGGTCCTCTTGGTCCCGGTTGTATCATGCAGCTGCCCCCAGCATCAAAGGGACTAGGAAAGCCAACTTGAGCTCTGGGGTGGGGTGTATGTGTGTGTGTGTGTGTGTGTGTGTGTGTGTGTGTGTGTGTGTGTGTGTGTTGGGGAATGGGTGTGGGTGCCAGGAGGCCACGAGTGTCCTTTGCCAGGGTTCCTTTCAGAGCTTTGTGTTTGCAGCTCCTTGGGCAGCCCTGCCAGTGTGTGGCCAGTGGTCTGTTTTGGAGTGCAGCAGTAGAGGAGCCCTCGTTTCGGCCTTTCAATGCCCACATTTGAAAGTGGGTGCCTTGTGTGGTGTCGGGAGCACCAGAAGACACACAGGCAGGTCTGGGATGGATTTGAGTTTTCTTCTCATCAGCCCCTTGCCCCCATCCCCTGCAGCTTTCCTGGAGCTGTTTGCTCCTGGAGAAGCAGCTTTGCAGTGGGAGTAGCTAAGGAACATAAGTTAGTCTTGAAAGAGCTGCATGGGCAATGCCTGTGGGCAGCCCTGCGGAGGCCAGGGCCATGGAGCTGAATGGACAAGAGACTTCCTGCAGCAGCCGGAGAGTCACCTAGGGTCCTGACAGCTGGAGACACAGAGAGGGCTTCTTCTCTAAACGTGGTGTCCAGTGCTGCTGCCACGTGACAGCTTGGTCCCAACCCGGCATCCTTTGCCCGCTCCAGGGGGCCATTTTGTAGGAAAGCCGGGAAGAGACACTGGGGCACAGACAGCCTTCACTGAAGGGAGTCAGATTAGCCGGGTTAGGGTTAATCCTTCTTTTCTCCCCAGCCTTTTAGTTCTTTCTGATTACATCTTAGGTGACTGAACCCTTTTTTGCTTCGGTGGTACCTCCGCCCATCTCTCACCGGTTCTTGTTCTGAAACTTCCTGGCTCGTATCCATACACATTAGTGGACAGTTCTGTGTCGCCACTTTGTCACTGGAATAAAGTCCCTGGGGAGCAACAGCAGCTGCCTTTGCAGACCTACTCTGATAAAAGTGATTCCAAGGTCCCTTTTGTAGGCCACAGTACTTAGACATATGTCAAATGATGATTTGGGGAAAACCGTATCATTTCATTTCTGATGAGTATTTAATACTTTGGAAAAGCAGAGTGAGAAAACTGTCTTTCTGATTTCAAGGCTTTGCATCTGGAAGGGATTGTTCTTTGTCTGATGTTCCAAAAGGTGTCTGAACAGGATGGGTTAGTGACGGTCGGATGGTCCAGAAGACTGTCCTGGCTCTGGTTGAGTGAGTGTAGGGAAATCGCAGAGTCTGGTATTCTGTGATGGAACCTCAGACTTCCATTTTTCTTGTTTCAACTGCTAAGCGAGGAAAGCTGAATAAATGAATATTTTTAAAATTGTGCCCAAGCCTTAGGCATCGATGGGGAGAGGCTGAAAGGGAGAGAAGGACCTTGCTTCAACCTTTATGTACTGGATTCCTCTGTTTAGTGTGTAAAGGGATGGCATGGTGTTAGTAAAGAGATGGGTGGAATAAGGTTCTTGTCTTCACACAGGAAAAGAATTCAGACATGAGATCCGTGATCAGCAAGGCAGCACAATTTAATGGGCTGTCAGAATGGTTGGGCATCTCTCCAGACCGAATCCAAGAGTGGCCATTCTAGCTGG